CAATTACATTTTTGGGGTAACGGTAACGATTTCACTAGTTACTTTTATCATTACTTTATTTCTAACTACGTAAAAGTTTAGTAGTAACTATAGCCCTAAAAATCAAGATGAAACATTAACGGTCTGATTGGCTATCTAAATCACGCGATCATGACGCCTTTTTTTCATTGTATTCACAGTTCACACGTATAGACTAATTCAGATATATAATCTTTACAGTATATTTAATTTCTTAAAATAAAATTTTTTCTATGTCATATCTCACAAATTAAATATCATATAATGCAAATTATAAACAATATTATTTTGTTATTATAATATTATATAATTTTACCCTCTTAGAGTACTCACGATGAATCATTCGTATCTTGTTTCTTTTCTTCGAAATGCACCTGGCTAAATAATTCTTTCTATTCTTTTTTTGTTTTTAAATATACAACTTTATAAATGTTTTTTTTAAAGATGTTTTTTAAATAAATATTGGTTCTTTCTTTTTAAATATACATATAACTTTATAAATGTTTTTTAAAAATGTTTTTTAAATATTGTGGCTATGAAAAAGTTCGTTTTTCTCACTAGATGACATTAAATGCTCAGCACTCGGTAACTACTAATCGCATCGACAACATTAGACGTGCGTTTAAAAAGTGACATTTCAACCTTTGTTTTGAGCCGAAAAAGATTGAAATTGATGAAGTGGATCAAAAGTTATTTTATTTTGAAAATGGAAATAAATAAGGAAAAAATTCGCTACATTTTGCAATATTACTACGATAAAGGCAAGAACGCTGCACAGGTTTCTGAAAAAATTTGTGCTATTTATGGTGAAGATACTATCAAAATCAGCAGCACGGAAATGATTCGCTCCTTTTCTAGATACTGGAAATTTCGATGTGAAAGATGAACCTCGCTCCGGTCGACCAATCACTGAAAAGTCCGATGAAATCATGGAAAAAGTCGAGCGTGATAAGCATGTGAGCACTGTGGAGATTGCCAGGGAACTAGGCATCGACCACAAAACAGTTTTAAATCATTTACACAAAGCTGAATACAAAAAAAAGCTCGATGTTTGGGTTCCTCACGAGTTGAATGTTAAGAACATGATGGACCGAATTACATTTGCGATACGCCACTGAAACGGAATGAAATTGTGCTATTTCTGAAGAGAATGATAACTGATGATGAAAAATGGATCACGTACGACAATCGAACTCGCAAAAGAATGGATAAAGGAAGGAGAGAAGGCACAAGCAATCGTGAAATCTGGATTGACGATGAAGAAGGTGATGTTGTGTGTGTGGTGAGATTGAAAAAGAATCGTTCACTATGAGCTGTTATCGCCCGATCAAACAATTAATTCCGAACTCTACTGTGAACAACTGGAGAGATTACAACAAGCAATTGAGAGGAAGCGGCCAGAATTAATCAATAGGAGAGGTGTCGTCTTTTATCACGACAATGCTCGACCACACACATCTTTGATTTGAACTCGGCAAAAATTGCGAGAGCTTGGCTGGGAAGTCTTAATGCATCCACTGTATAATCCTGACATAGCACCCTCAGATTATCATTTGTTTAGATCTTTGCAGAATTCTCTTAATGATGTAAAGCTTCAAAAGAGGCCTGTGAAAATCACTTGAAGCAGTTTTTCGACCAGAAACCACAGAAGTTCTATCGCGATGGGATTATGACTCCCAAAAATGACAAAATATTATTGAAAATAATGGAGCATATTTGGTTTAAATAAATTGATTTTAATACTCTAAGAAAAACACTTGAATTTTACTAAAAAACCGCCACGAACTTTTTCCTACGCCCATATAAGAATATCCCAAGTAGAAATTCGATCAGACATGCCTGATGCCCAGTCAGATAAGAGTAAAGTCTGCCTGATACGGTTTACCTGAAATCACCTTCTATCAAGATCTGAACACAATAACAGAATACACCTGCCTGATGTAACCCTGATCAGAACCTGAACGAGCAGTAATAGGATGCGTCTGATAAAAATTGTCTGATATTATCTTTACTGGCGCTTGAACAGGAAATGTCCAAGCGCATCTGACAAAAATTGCTGGTGTAACCTTGATCAGGGCCCGAACAAACAGTAATAAGGTATGCCTGATAAGAATTATCTGGTATCGTTCTTACTTTCTTACTTTTATTTAATCCTGATCATATCTGGAATGGACATACAAGGTGCGTCCCAAAATTTTCCGAACTTTTTCAATAGGGATAGGTCGGGTGGCGCCATCCATGTGTTCGATTGCGCGTTTGAAAGGTACATCCCTAGCTGACTTCCAGTAAAAATTTCATGACATTTGGTTCAGTGGAAACGAAGTTATGGCGTCTCAAGTGTCAGTATGTTGTATACATCGGTACGAGAATGAACTTCGAACAAAGAGCCAATATTAAGTTTTGTTTTAAACTTGGTAAAACATTTACCGAAACCCATAATTTGATGAAACAAGTTTATGGTGATAATTGTGTAGCCCGTGCCAGTGTTTATGAGTGGTATACGCGATTCAAGAACGGTCGTGAGGACATAAATGACGACGCACATACAGGTCGCCCAAAATCGACAATTAACGAAAATTCCATCGAAGTTTTTATGATTCCAAGGGTATTGTGCACAAAGAATTCGTTCCAGCAGGCCAAACAGTTAATGCTGTATTCTATGTAAGCGTTTTGAAGCGTTTGGTGCACCGCATTCGTCGTATTCGGCCAGAATATCGCGAAGGAGGAAGTTGGCGCTTGTTACACGATAATGCGCCATCTCACCGTTCGACACTTGTCACTGATTTTTTGACTAAAAATCACATTTTAACAATCAACCATTCCCCGTATTCGCCTGATATGGCACCTTGTGACTTCTACCTATTCGGCAAAATGCATTTGTCCATGAAAGGAAAGCGGTATGTGGACGTAGAAGACATCCAAAGGGCTTGTACCACTATTCTGAAGGACGTGCCTTTGAACGACATAAAACACTCATTTGAAATGCTTTTAGATCGTGCCAAACGTTGTATTGAGTCCGACGGGGACTACTTTGAATAAACAATTTGAATTTGAAAAAAAAAGTAAACCGTTGTTGTTTTATTTCAAAAGTTCGGAAAATTTTGGGACGCACCTTGTACAATGAGTGTCCTTTAAGAATAGTAATTTTCATTACAATCATTATCTAAATAATTGCGCGCAATGGTTATAATATAAATAGACAATAAATAACACATTTATTAATTGAAGAAATGGTATAGTACGTAAGGCAGGAAACTCATTCAGAGATAGGTTCGAATCCCATTAAGGTAAAAATGTATTTCAAAATCAAATTGAATATTTAATTTCAGGTAAAATCATATACATACTACAAATAACTCATATGAAACAATTTTAGTAAAACAAGATATTAAAATTTTGTCATCCAAATTTTGTCATCCAATGATGAGCGCCCAATTAGATCTTAATATGGAATCCTGATAGTGGTCTGAATAGGTTCTTTGATAAAGACCTGATCTGATCCCTATCAGGATTCCTTATCAGAACCTGATTATGCATTAAGGATAGCCTGCTAGGGGCCTTTAAAAGACCCGAACAGGGTTCCTATCTGTGATAAGGATCTGATCTTTCGACTCTGTCAGGTTATTATCGGAATATTGCGTTACATTCATGATACAGCTCCTATTAGGGATTAGGGATAACCTGCTAGGTTATCCTATATGCTTTATTCATACCTTAGTTAAACATATAATTTAAAGATATTTTATTAAAAGTAATACATTTATTTAAGTATAAAAATTACAAAAAAATGCAGTATATATTATATGATATGACAGCATCTATTTTATTCATGAAAATAATGCACAATGTTTACTATATGCATATATTTTTTGAGCTCTATTCCTCTACAAAAATAGAATTTTGACATTTTTTTACATTATCGCAAAAATTTGCATATAATATGCATATAATATTTTATTAATGTAAGAAAAAAAGTAAAAAATAATGATTCGTTATATTTTAAGTAATGGTAACGGTAACCAACTTATAGTTTCTGATAAAAATTCATCACATTCGCTCTTCAATTCTGAAATAATCCTGAAAATAGTTGGTATTTAAATAAATTGGTCGAATTGATGACAAAAAATGCATTTAAAAATTATAAACAATAAAAAAATATTTATTCAAAACAAATGTATATTTAAAAATAGTCAAAACATAGAACAATTTATAATCTTTAAAAAATCTCTTGCATTTTTTTCGAATTACCGTTTCGGCGGTACAATCATTTGAATATATACACAAGCCACGTTTTTCGTCAATTCTTGAAATTTAAAGGTAAGCATAACTTCGTGAAAATATTTAAAAAAATTTTTTTCCAAAACACGTGTCTCATTTTTTTATGTCTAGAATACATCTGCAAAATTTTAAAAGAATCGGAATCTTCAATTTTTTTTATCAAAAAGTGCCCAGTTTGACGTAGAATGATCGATATATAAAATGTATTTGAGTAAGCGTCAAATATTTTAGGAACGTATTACCATCTACCAAACATTCATATAAACATGGGTTTATAAACATTTATGTATGGGCTGCCTAAAAAATAATGGACATTCACACATAACTTGTAAACGAAAAGAGATATCGAATGAAACAAAAAGGGCATGAAAGTGCATTTTATTGATTATATCATTATCAGATCATATCATTATTTTTGAACATAACGACATTTATCATTTATAGCTATACATTTCTCTCAATGATAAATCAGTTTTCCCATCAATAAAGAAATCCAGCGGTATTTCCTTGACTTCACTGCTTCCTACACTTCATCATCTGTGGTAAAATGAATGCTTCCAAGATTCTTCAAATTTGGAAAGAAGTAAAAATCGCAAAGAACCAAATTCACCAACTCCCGATGCACGAAATTGTACACCTATTCACAATACCTAGTTCGATAAACAGTTTCATCACTATAAATGGCTAAATGGCTAAATGGTAAACAACGATTAATATTACTAGAATTTATTTTTCATATGATAAACTAAAAGACGCAATCAAGTCGTGGATAAAGAAAAGACTGCCGGAATTCTTCATTAAGATGAAAAAACTGGTTTACCGTTGAGAAAAATATATAGCTGTAAGTAGTGACTACGTTGAAAAGTAATGATACGCAAATGTTGCACCCGTGTAGTCGATTCGCGAAGTCGCTCTCGCGGACGCGTTCACCCATTCCCGAACCGTGGAAATAAAGAACACGAATGTAAAAGGGAGAACAAGAAACGTTTATTAACAAAGAGAACACAAAATACAATGAACGATAAATGATAATGCAAATGAAGAAATACGTCTGGACACGACGGCTCACATCCAAATCTGAAGATCTTGTTAAGAAGTTGAACGGCTAGTCGCTTCGACAATGCTCTCTCTTCAATACACCACGGATGTCGCCAAGGCACGGGCATAACAATACGTTCTTGTAGCCAATAAAATACACTTATGCCCTTTTTGTTTCGTTTGAATAAGGTAGTTGATCCAGTAATCGTAACTAAAACATTTGACTTTGCAAATTCAGTGTAAAGTATCTAGATACATTTCTTAACTCCGTAATTGTAATTGTAACTAATTATGTTTTACTTTGTATCTTATCAAAATATATCTAAAATAATATTTTAGATACATTTTAAAACGCACTCAACTAATTATGTGATTTAAACAAAAATCAATCCAATCAATGGGCGAGCGCATAAGAAATTAGGTTATACATGATAAATTTAGCAGTTGATAACTCTCAAATTTAATCGGCCGATCAAATAACTGGCTTTGATGAAACCAGAGAGAAATTGTGAAACTGATCTTTAGATTGCGAAAATTTGATTAGTTAAAAGTAAGAATAAACTTGATATTTTATATTATGTATATGACACTATATATTAATAAACTGTAAGAGAAACTATAAAATAATTCTACATAAGAATAATGAAGAAAATAAGAACTTTATGTAAAAATTATAATAATTATTAAAAAATAATAATTTTTTTAAAAAAATGTAACATTCGAATCAATTACATTAATTCAAAGTCGAATTTATTTGATATATGAAGTCAAAGTTAAATTTATTTCGGAATTAATACTATCAATAACTTGTTAAATTCCTTATTTTGTGGTATAGTTCCTTCAACTCTAAATACCACTAAATTCAATATTGATAACATAAGGAAATATTCCTTCAATTCAACATTTTAATTTATCATTATAAGTCCTTAAGACAAATTGATACGTTATTGTTACAAATAAAAAGATTAAAATTAAGTTAATAACGAATCGGATTGATTTAACTACTTATATTTATAACAGTGATACATTTAATTGATTCAATTTATCTTTTTATTTATTTAACAGCATTTTTTTCTCAGTGTATTTAAAAAAACAAAGATATTTGAAATAAAATTATGTATCTATACAAGTATCTAAATTTATTTCTAAAATAAATGTATCTATAGCTAGTTACTCATAAAAATATGTATCTGTACTTAGTTACATTTGTCTTCAAGTAACTGTAACGGTATCTACTTATTTTAAACAATTATATCTCTTACAATATTGTGCAAATTTATATTGTTCAGATTGAAGAGTGAGTGACTGTTATTTTGAGTTATTTTAAATCAATTTTTTGTTACGAATAAAAACATCACTCTAAAATTCTTATACTTACTGCCATTGTTGAGAAAATCCTTCGTAAAAGTTAGAAGGCGCAAAACACAACGTCCTCCGTGTCCATTCTTGGAATACCAACGTAGTGTTTCAGAATACATCGTTGTTACAGATGTTCTGTATCTTTTAGATTTCGCTGAGTAACAAAATGTAGGATTTTTCTCCGGCTTTCGTTTTCAATGCCAGTAATTAAAGAGATTAAGAGAGAGATCTTCGGCAAATCCGTTCCATGTGTCCTGATTTCTCAAAAGTTTTAATCTTTTCCATGGATTATTGGTTCTTGAAATATCGCAAGTATTCCTTGGCTTAATATAGCTCTTCATTATAAGCTCTTGGTTAGAGTCATTATAAGTGTCTACTTAGGACGCTTGTATGGAATACAAGAGATCCGGGTTCAAGTCCCGGCCGAGGTAATATTTTTCGCAATAAATTTATTAACAATTTAAACATATTTATAACATCTTTATAACATCTTTTTTAAATAAATTTTTAACATCTTTATATTATAATATAATGCTTGATGGTAGCATGAAATTATTAAAATTGTTTGTCAGTTTAATTCACGATTACTAGAGTAGTTTTAATTGCGTTTACATTCCGGAAAAACAATTCGGCGTTCGTTCGAAAAGACTACAATATGATATATGTGTAAGTACATATATAATGTATATTAATAATTACACATACATTATACATTATAATATATTAGTATAAATAATTCAAGATTGAATCTTCGAAATTTCCAAGTTCCATTTTTTGTTTCGACCTGATTTGCATATTCTTTTACTGTCTCAGCCACTTCGTATTTTTCTTCAATAAGGTAGATTATAACGAAGTGCGTATAGTCATCTATGATTATCATATATTTCTTCTTATCCCAGGTAATTGGATTCACTGGTCCACATATATCAGTATGGACAATTTCCAATTCTCTCTTTGCTTTTGTCTTTTTTTTACTGAAAAATATTCTTGTTTGTTTAGCTTTTAAACAAATCTCACATACGTTATTTAATATTTCCATGCTTCTGTTTGATATCATCATACCTTCTGATATGGTCATTAGTTTTTTCATGTTGTCTTTTTTCTTTCTCCTAGGTGTCCTAATTTGTTATGCCACTCAAGAGCCCTTTTATTTTCCTTAGTTAGCGTTAGTAAAGCTCTATCCAGAGAATCTTGGCTCAAATTTACAATCCATCTCCATTTCGAAAGCCAACAAATTTTTCATTATCTTTCCATATTTTCACTTTTTCCTTAGTAAATGCTACTTTTGCTTCCATTTTCTGTGATTTCGCTAACTGATAATAGGTTTTTTATTTAGGTCTGCAACATAAAAATCCTTGTTAAGTATACATTTTTCTGTTTCAATGACGCCAACTCTTTTCAAGATTTGTGATTCCTTTGTTCCGATTTCTGACTTTGTTTTCTTCATATCCTTAAACAACTTCTTATTATTTGTTATGTGTGCATGTTGAATCTGAATCCAGAATCCATCATCCGTTTCACAGCTGTTGGCTAAAAACAATACTTTATTTCTTGTGTTCGATTGATCATTCAAATTATTTTTACGAAACAATCTTTCTCGGAATGATTATTTTTCTTACACATATTACTTACCGTGTTTCCTGAGGTGTCTTCTTTCTTGTAGAATTTTGTCCATCATTGCATTTGAAACAGCGTATTTCTTGGATATTACCTTTATTTATTTTGCATATCTTAGCTAGATGGCCAATATTATTGCATTTGTAGCACTTCTTTTCAGTCGCCCTAAATGCTACTGAATCTTGTTTCGCATCAGTCGCCAGCAATCTATTCTTTTCAGACAGCAATTTTGATGTAAGATTCGTTAGTGTTTTCTGATTTTGAGTAGTGGAGTCCCAGGCACATGCAAAATATTTATTTTTTTCTGGCAGAATCGCAAATATTTTTGACATCGACATAGAGTCATCAATATCCGCATTTAGAATTTTCAATTTATATGCTAAGTTTTCAAGTTTACATGTGTAGCGATGTCAGATCCTTTTTTGACATATAAAATTAAAAAATTCTTGAAGCAGATTGCATTTTTGCTGTGTCCCTTTTATAGATTCATTTCATAGATTTTTTTGAACATTTCATTAGTTTTACATACCAGTATGTGAGTCAGTGACTGTCTTTCTTTCGTCATAATTATTATCTTTTGAGCACATGCTTCTTTTAAGTTTCAATCTGCTTTACCCTTTTCAGACGCATTGTCTGCCAATGCTGAGACTCTCGTTACGATATCATATAGTCCGAGAGATTTAAATAGAATTATAACTTGAAACTTCCAAATCGTGAAATCTTCACTATCTTTTAGTTTTTTTATTTGAGATTCTTCAACTTGAGTGTTCATCGCCATTTTTTTTTGTATTTTTACTGGTTCTTACATTGTTTTTACTTTTTAATTTTCCAACAACCTGAGTCCATAACCTGTTATTTTTAATTTTATCGTTGTTTGTTAAAGAATGTAGACTTCGTGCATACAAAAGAAATTGTTTATTACAGTACGAAAAAATAAAAATGAAACTTTTCTTTCACAACTTTTCTACAACGACGATTTTCTTAGAATACCGATGTGAGAGACACAAGTCCTGACTACCAACCGCATATAATAAAAAAAAAACTTGGCATGCAGTGCAACTTTTCTACACTTACTACGCATTTATGGCGTCGAATATAAACTAAAATAACTAGATAGACTCTAAAAATTATTTTCTACAGATACTGAGGGTTTAAAAAACGTGTTCTTCGTTACTTCTTTTATAAATCTTAGTTTTTAAAAGACGTAAAAAATAAAGTATGCAAAATTAAAGTTTATAAAATTTCTTATAAAAATTTCTCTGTTTTTCTTCTCTGCCGTCAATTTTTGTGCAAGAAACAGTTGTTTGAAAGAAGAATTTCCTGTGACGATTTTTTGACTGAAAATTATGGTCCATAACTTCTATAAAAACGGTGTATTTGAAAAAATGTTAGGATACTGTTACGATACTTTCTCCTCTTAATAGGTAATATTTCCTTGAATTTAGCATTTGGTTCATATTTTTAAGACCAACAATTTTAGAGATATAATTTCGACAAGTACGGTCTTATTCAGATCACTTATTCTGATAGTGACTGACTGGTGCCGTAGAGGTTAAGTAATGTGATATATATATCCTTTTTTTAGTTCTCATACCTCAATTATGAAAAAATGTGAAATTAATTCTCAGTACACAAAAAATCCCTATGCATGAATAACGGATGTTTCTAACCTATTTTTTTTGTTTATATCTCGGGTTATAATGCATCGATTTTAATTAATTTTTTTTTTCAAATTAATTGCATAAAAACTGAAAAACAAGAATTTTTTAGCAAGAAAGTCGAAAAAGTAGCACAAAAAATATTTTGCAATAAGTAAAGAGGGATCGGAAAAGACGTGCAATTTTCAAAATTGGTTTTATTCTGTTATGTATACTGAGGATTTTTAGAGTCATTTACAATATAAAAAATACAAAATGGCTGATCTAAAATAGTAGGAAAAATTTGAAAAAATTGAGAGATAATCAGCAATTCAATAAGTTTATAAGGTATTTGGCCACAATTTTGAATGCGACCCTGGTAGGGATACAGATGTGCAGAACTCAGATATATTGTAATTCAGAACGAGCCTGAAATAATCCTTGTATTCTCTAAAAGAAAAAGCAAATTACGTCTTGAAATGTACACCAAGAAATGTTGGTATTATTAATTGTATTAGTGATAATAAATGTCTTGATCACTGAAAAAATGATCTTGCAGTTATAGTGAAAATGATTTAAATAGGAAAAATTAGATAAAATGGATAAATAATTAGCAAGCGTTGCGATATTAGATATGTTTTACATCTGATCAGTATAAATGACAAAGACAGAATTTATATCTGAATTGTCAAATTTATTAAGAAAGTCTCTCTGTTATATTCAAAGTGATTCATATTTAATTATGAGTTACTTAAATATTTCTTGTATATTATTAGATACGCGTAGAATATTATGTTACAAATTCTACGGGTATAATACATAATTTTTTACGAGATACAAAAAACAGTGATAATTCCAGTTGGAGTAACAAAATATTCTTATGCATGACAGTAATTATTAGATTTTTATTTTAAAAAATACTATTATTAATAATTGTTATAAGTTATTATTAAGATTATTATATAATAAGAATTTATAATTTATTTATTTTTATATCCTCAAAATACATTACCAGACGCAAATAATATATAAATAAACAAAAATAAAATATACTTTTCAGACTAATTACGCAAATAAATTTCTCGAACGTGTGTGTCTCGGAAACTATTGGTTGTATGAAGATGAATAAGAAACGATTTTGTAGGAAATTTTATAATCTTCAATCTTTATAAAAGTTATTTTGTATGTCAAAGTAGCCAAATCTGATATCTCTATATTTACGAAAAAAATTCGAATTGTCGAGAAATAATCAAAAATACATTCTTTAAAAAATTCTAACACGGGAAGTACAGGGTGGGCCATCTATTGGTACGTTTTTGAATTTCGTCGTATGGCAACACCGAACGAGCTACAGACCCGAAATTTTGACAGTTTATTAGTCATACCGTCCGCGGCACGAAACAACATGTTTTCTCTTGAAGAGCGTTTTGAAATTTTAAAAACTTATTTTCAAAGTCAGTGCTGTGTCGCCGAAACTGTACGAATTTTGAAAAGAAATATGGGTCGTGATAGAGCACCCACCGAAGGAGCTATACGCAAATTGGTGAGGAAAGTTCGTGAGAAAGGGATGTTAGTGGATGACAGAAGTGGTCCCAGAGTTCGGACAGTGCGCACACCCGAGAATATTGAGGCTGTGGCCCAAAGTGTGAGACAATTCCAGCTTTGAAAAACAATATTACGACTGTTTTGAGTGAAATTGGCGCCGAGGTAGTCCAAAATGTCATTAATAATTGGGGTGACCGAATGGCATACTGTAAGGCCAGTAGAGGGAGCCACATGAACGAAATCGTTTTTCATTCTTGACGCGGATACTTTTAGCTTCACAACAAAAAAAAAATTAATAAAAAATATCAATGTATGCTCATTTGATCGCATTTTTAAAAACGTACCAATAGATGATCCACCCTGTATTAATCGTATCACTCAAAAAAAAATAAAATTGTTCGTAATTTTATCAGCTTTTTTTTTGATAATAATCTTTATTTTAATAAAATGAATGCTTTCTGAGATATTTTAAAAAAACCGCATTTTTAATCAGTTTTTTTGAAGCTAGAAAGTTGTTTAAGTCCGCTCGGTTCGGCATTGTATAACACGTCATTTAGAATAACTTATTGCAAATAAAACTTTTATGGCAATTTTGCCTCCAAAACGCAAAAATAAATTTAATTTTCCTAGACAATATACGAATGCTGAATGAAAATTCAGAATGATATTCAGATAAACAAAAGTAATTGTATCTAGGTGTTCGATCTTACAAGAGATGGCGTTGCAATATGTTAGATAAGAATGTATGCATTTAAGTAAGACTGAACGATAATATAAGAAATGAATTAAAGATAACTAATTATTGTGTAATTATTGATAACATATTATTGATAAACTATTGTCAACTTTTTTATTTGGAATTTTAAAAATCAGTACTATCGAGTTCGGCCATCAATTTAACATCCCCTTAATCCTAAACCGAAGGTCGAACTTGATCGAGGTCGATAGTGCAGACTTTTAATTCTAAATTCGATAATAGTGACATCTTTAATTCATTTCTTACATTATATTATATGTTCGACTCTGTTGACTTAGTCTTCACAAAGCATCCGTATACACGTATTTTCCATTCAGTGAAGATACTTTTTTTCTAGACTTTCAATCTTAATCCTACTTGGTATCGTTCATTTCAGTAATGTAATCTCAGCTGTATACTTATTTTCAAGATTTCCCCTTAAGAAAATGCTAGAGTAATCAAATTGTCGGGATTTTGCAGATCAATATAGATCAATATAAATCTCCAAATTTACTGAACAAAATAAATTCTTTTATACGATTAAAGTAGAAGAAAAGTTCCTTAATACAAGTTTTATAGTTCATGGATCAAACGAGAAAGAGGGATGAGACACTTTTACATCGCAGATTTACATGGGATATCATTAGAGATATAAACGACGAAAAATTCTAGAATTTTAGGATTAAAAAATCCGGGAAATAATGGTTTTTTTTTGATAGTTTTTTACTCGAATTTTTTTTTTAGCATTTCACGATTTTTGCACTTATCCATAAGATTTTTGTGTAAAAATAGTTAAAAAATTGAAATATAATATAATGATTAATATAATATAATGTTGATGACTATAAATCTTATCTTTCATTATTATTTGAATGATGTTTTATACAATTTTCAAAGTTAAGTAAGTATTCCATACTGTTATTAATACAAATAATACTTCACTAAACTAATTGACACTTTTTGTCATATATTGTGATTGTAATTGTACTGTATATATATTCTGATTTTATGAGACAACGTTCATCTCTAATTACTTTTGAATCAATATTATATTGGAATGTTGTCTCAAAATAAATAAAATATCTAATACAAAATAATTAAAAGTACAGTTATAACTAATATGAAACAAAATAATATTTATTATGCTTATAAAGTATGTATTGGATATTACCATCCGACAGTGCGATGTAATAGATCCGGTGTCACTAGCGCCTCTACGTTAACTCTATTTTCTATACATGACGCCCATCTACCTAACTTGTTCTTGCATTGTCCCCTTTTACTTATTTTCACTTTTATCTTTCTACTCACCCAAAGATGGTGCCTGTACGTCTTGTGCATCATTAAAGTCTATTATGATTCGTATGTCTGGTGATTATCTCGTATATTCCACTCACATCCCTACAAATGGTTATGAACCCAGGAGGACGCTGTTATTGCACATGTTACAACAAGATACGAATAACGGAGATTTCGCATACCAGAAAAGTGCTCAGTGCAAAGAAGCACATGCGTCTCGATTCGTTCGCTTCTCGGACACGAACAGCATCTTTCATATCTAAAGACGTTTGAATTGTCGATTTGCAACGCAAATAGACATACACTGCAAATCCAAGCGAATCTTTGGTTCTCAATTCGCGTGACGAAACCGTCCGTTTTTGATCCCCTCGGTCGGTCCGCCATTAGCATCGCCGTCATATAACTATCGAGGTTAAACAACGTCGGTATACGCGAATGCGAGTAAGATGTCCGCTACGAACATTATCAACTCGACATAGAAACCTTGTCGAAAGATAATTACGATACCTAGCGCATACAAGTCGAGGCACTGCTCGTGAAGAACGACACTTGGCAATACGTGTCTGGCGAAAGACCAAAACCGGTTTCCAACGAAGCGTCGCAAGCCGCGTATAACTTATGGATCGTGGAAGATCACAAAGCCAAGTCAGACCTCATTTTGTGCATCCGTCCGTCAGAACTCAAACACACCCGAAACTGCGTAACGTCGAATGAAATATGGACAAAGCTGGAATCTGTATACGCTTCGAAGGGCCAGTCCGCAAGGCGGCACTATTGAAACATCTGATTCAAAATAAGATACAGAAAGGAGATGACGTACATATCCACGTTATGTTTTATTTATTGTGGACAAATTCTAAGCGATGGAAATCGAAATAAACGGCAACTTCCTGACAATCATGTTGTTGTATAGTCTTCCTAACAGCTTTGAAAATTTCAGGTACGCCATAGAGTCGCGTGATCAATTACCGGACGCGGAATCGCTACGAGTAAAAATCATAGAGGAGTACGACTCAAGGAAACAAAAGACCACGGAGAAAGATTCCAACGCCTTGATAGCTGAACATTATAGCAAGTCCGCTACCACCTCGAAACGTATACGTCAAGTCATCAGATAAAACAAAACAAGAATCTAACCGACGAACGAAAGTATAATAAATGTCATAAATTCGGATACAAAGCATTCGAATGTTACTCCAAGACGGACACGAAAGACTCGAACGCCACTCTACAGAGGAATCGTCTTTTTCAGCCTTTCATGCGGATGACACAGAATTCTGGGAGCACCTCCCATCTTTGTAATAACATGCGATCCTTCGCACACACCAAGGAGACAGAGAGC